TATATATATATATATATATGTGTGCATGAAATATATAATTATATATTAGGTGTGGGAAAAAGTTTGTGGCGTTTTTTTAATGCCATCTAATGGGAAAAACGCCACGAACTTTTTACCTATTATTTATGCTATTTATGCCGTTATATAATTCAGCTGGGCATCAATGCAATTTTCTATAAGCGTCTCGTAAAATAAGACTCATAAAATAATAAAAGAATAGTTCTTACACAATAATCTTTTTATTAATAATTCCTCTTGAATATTTCTCTAATATAATTCCTCTTTATGTGGAATTATAATTCTTCATTCTTTCTTCAATCGTTAAATGCAGAAAAATACCCCTCATGGCTTCTTGATTTCGTTAGATTTTTATTTCTTTGAATCTTTTTTAATTTAAAATGCAATAGAACGATCTCAGAGATCTGTGTGTGAATTCCTGATTCATTCCAGAAATCATATTATTCAATGTATCAGACAATTAATGGAATACTGTTGGATGGATATCGGTAAGATGGAAGCATTTCCAAAGACCATAGCGCACGTCCCAATCGACGAAGAATAGTTCCGGTTTGTTCCAAAGAACGTGATGCAGCGCAAAGTTGTATTGGGATTGGATGGGAGGATTCAGATGTGGCGCCCAATGCGCCCTTTCCATCATGATCCTATTCAAATAGCTGTAGAAAACTTTAGCCTTATGTATCCAGCAGATGAGGGACATAATAGAAATAATCATAGCATGTATATGACAAGTTACTTCCACGCGATTGTCTTGTTGTTGCAGGATGATCTCCTGTAGATTCATCGCGAGACAGATCAGAGCAGCAGCTGTAAAGCCACAGGGTACCTCAACAGCAATCAGGCATATTGTGCAATATGTCACCTCGAGATTCATCCGTGACTCTGAGTGATTTATTAGACTCTTTAGCAGGCTATCGTGTAGCAATTCGCGGTGACACTTAAAGAACGACCGATCTTCTTTGCGATACTGCACGATGCGCACATCAAAATGCGTGTGCTCAAAGAAGATTTTAGGTGTATCGAAGACCGCTCGGTTGTCTTGGCGGTCTATCAACCACTGCAATACTCGGTTGCCTAGTAGACTGATGAGCCGACTGGATGAGCCCACCATTTGCATCAACAGTGGAAAGATTGTCGGTGTGAGTGTCTGCTCGTAGAGATCCGCCTGATGTATATAAGCAGCGAATTCCAACAAGCTGCCGAACTCCAGAACGAATTCGTCGGTCGTGTCTGCGGATATTGTCCATGAGCACATGTGCTGTATGATCACTAGCATCTGATCGTTCGGGATATGTCTTATAATATTTCTTATGCAAACTTCTAAACTCTTTTTGATGCTCGCAAGCGCCGATAGCGATGATGGTAGTGAAGGTGTTAAAGAAGAGGAAGAAGGAAGGGAAGTCGTCGTCAAACGTGCGATTATGCTAGCATGAAAGAGCGCGACCATCCTTTCTATTATCGCTACTGTATCCTGCGTTGCCGGCCACTCATACATGTTCAGAAGCTCACATAATATCTTAATGATACCGTGAGCATCCTCAACGCTAATTTCTGGCAGTGTTAATTTATTCCAAATTGAATGGACAATCAGTCCGGCAATAGCAGGGTTGATATCCACCAGACTGTACATTACTTCAAAGCAGAAGGTCTCGAATCTCCAGAGTTGCTCATGATAGATGGTTTCTATGATAATCTCTACGATATCCCGTGATTTTTCGGGCAGGTAGTTTTTCAGTAAAGCATGATAGCAATCTTGGGCGATTTTAAACTTACGTCGACGTTTCCATAAGTCGCAAAATCTATTCGTGTGAAATACATTCTCGTAGTATAACAGAATTCTCAGTAGACACGTCATGAGCGTGCGAGGATGATGAAACTGCAACTGCATCTTTGTTGCATTTTTGACGATCATCGTTATCTTTTCCAAGGTCTTATTCTGGATCTTATCCTGTTGCTTTGAGAAATACAAAACTATGGGCAAGGAGCTCTCAGAGATAGCCTCTATTCTCTGTGCAAGTTCTTCATCGGTGATCATTCTTAGAATTAATTTGAAAGTTTCTAAATTTAAAAAAAAATGTGACAGTACACAGCTGGAGCTCCTAGAAGATGAAATATTAGGTATTACAAATGGAAATATATAAAATAGAAAGCAATAGTAAAAAAAGTAAAAGTAAAAGTATAAACAATATAATATATAATACACAGAACACTGAAATTTAAAAAGTTATGAAATAATAAAACTAAAAGATTTTGTATGGGTTAAAATTCAACTCTCAATTTTTTGGAGGATTATGATAGAAACATGAAATTGCAGTTTATGTTATAATATTTAAAGATTCTTGCAATTCATTGTTCAGTATAATTACCAATCCACAATTTTATGTTTCTAACATAAAACTGTAATTGAAAATGTAACTATTTTAATTATCATTACCTTTTCATCTTCTTGCTGATGTATTAATATTAAAATAACGTAAAACTTATATAAATAACGTGAGATTATATAAAAAATGTTAGATTTATATAATAATATATTGTTTATAATAGATGCTATTTACAAGTATAACGTAGCAGTGTAACATAGCGTTAAGTCCATAGATAGAAAAAAAAACAACTTTATTCTATATTTACAAGTTCCTATACATATATGCACATAATAGGAAGAATAAACTCTAAATTCTTCAATCATTCTTCTTACAAGATGGATTTAAAAATTCGCGAATCTAACTATATTCGTAACCCATTGTTAAATAGACTAAATATACATTCTCGCGCGTTACTTTAACAAAAGCAACAAAGCTTTCGCATTTAAAACCACAAATCACCGCCGACATCTTCGTCTGGTTGTGGCAGTTGTTGCTGCTGATTTTGTTGTACTTCCTGCTTGGATGTAACGTTCTCGGTATCATCATCGCTTTCGGAAACAGCTAGATCATCCTGGATCTTATTCTCTCCTTTATCATCCCTGGCTGGTAAACCGGCCAACAAGAAGTCCGACGGATCGTAATTTGGATCAACATCCATGCTCTCATCTATGAAAGGAAAGTTGAAGTTTACGGAAAAAATCAATGAAAAGTTAAAATAATTCTATCAACTGAACAATAAAGTGTAATTAAAAACGATTCAATAAAAAGTCGTCTTATTTTTGAAGAGTCATATTTTTTCAAATTGTTTATTATATATAAAAATATTAATAAAATTTCTCTTTAAGTTTCTCTTTATTTATATTTTATAAAATTTCTAATTTCTTCAAAAGAGATCTTCAAGCGAAGCAAATCATTAATTTAAAATTTTGTCTTCTTACCTTGTTGAAGCAGCTGTTGCTCGCCCATATAAAAACCGACATTCCCCAATTGAACCATTGCTTCTGCGGCTTGTTGACTGTCATCATCCGCTAATACGACACCTTCCCTAACCTCGCTTAATTCCAATGTTTCCGCTTCATTTTGCTCGGAATGATCGTCCGTGCCGAATGGCACTTCATCAAATTCATCTTCGCTCGAGAATTGAAGATCTGTGAACAGAAAGAAAGATTATTAAACAAGCTCTGATAAATATAAAATAAAATTAGGATTACATTACTCTACCTTCTTCGAGCACATCCTTCTTTTTCAAATTCCTATCTATGTCTGTTTCCATGTCTCCTTCTACATCGACAAAATCAAAATCATCCATATTTGATTTGCTAAATGGATTCTCTGGAGAACTGTTTTGGCTCTAAAGATAAATTTCAATGTTGAATAAAATGTAAATAAAATTAAATAATGAAATAGTAAAATATAAGTTATAAATAAGAAATACATAAATATTAAGTATTAAATATAAAAATAAGCATAATACTTACGCCTCTGTATTCAGGTTCCGTGATAGTGTAATTTTCCTCATCCGGGCAAAGCCAGGAGGAATCTATGTCTGCCTGCTCCATTGCTCGTTTTTGCACAAGTAATATATTGTTTTCCAGTTGCGTCAGATGTTCATCGTACTAAAACAATATTCGTCATTGTCAGCAACATTATTTCTATTTAACTTAAGCACTTTAACAATTTTTCATCTAATTACTACAAAAATAATTATACCTCATCTAATGTATCTTTACACACTTTTACCAGCAACTCCGCTTTACTTGTAAGCGGAGACTCTTTACCATTATAAATCGAGCAATTCTCCAAGATCTGTTCGATATCTCTAAGAAATTCGTGACGGCTGTGATATTTGTGTGCTAAAAGGATTTTAAAAATAAATAAATTAATTTTAAGAAAAAGTAAAGCGCATAAATCTACAGTTTTATGTAAATACTTAAGTTTCTTACCAGAAACTTTTTTAGATACTGTTTCTAGGTCCATCGGTTTCTTGACAATATTATAATAATCCTTCACCATCTTTTTATTGACAGGTTTCATAAACGGCCATACTTCTGTCATAGATTTCAGTTTATTGTTGACAACGTTATCCAAGATAAAAGTGAGAGCAACTTGATCATTGTCGTCCAGAAGAGGATTAATGGCCTTCTCCAATCTCATCAAACGATCCTCCTTTTCGCCAAGTCTCTCGACACACGTATCCAACATTCTCTTGGCGGCTACAGTCAATGAACTCTTTGCTCCGTTATAGAGCGTTGAGTTTTCCACAATCTGATTAACATCCGCCAGAAATTCCTCCCTGCTTTGATATTTTTTTAGCCTCAAATTTTCACGTATGGTCTGCAGATCCATGGGCCGCTGTATGATTTTGTGATAATCAGGGACTACCTGGTATAAAAAAAAACAGCATGGTCGATTTGTAAAACGGTGTTCTTCGATTTTCAGAATATTCTGTTATATTATATATATAATAATTTATAGTTATATAATTATAAAGCTTATAGCTGAATTTTAGTTTCATTTTTATTCAATTTGCAATTGGTTTTTTAGTGTTTAATCTCATAAGTTAAAATAGCGCTTACTTTAGCATTGACTGGGAATAGGAATGGTTGCACATCTGGCAAATCTCTCATTTCATTCAAAATGCTTTCCAACATTGTAGACATCACTACAACTGGATCAGTTCTACGTCTGTTAACCGGTCTTTGATGGCGTTTCAAATAATCACAGTGGTCGTCTGTGGGTGGTTTCCTACGTTTCTTTGAATTTACCGCTTCCTTCGGCACTTTGAGCAATAATGTACGCCTCTTCACTTCTTCGGCGTGCTGAAATAAACAAGGTTTTTATCACTCTTTAGATTCTTGGACCACGTATATGAATATGGATTGAATAATTTAAATTTGATGTTAAAAATTTTCAATATCCATCAACTCACCTTGATAAGTTTTGAGGACAATTTCACCTTGGTACCATCGACATTGACCAGATCTTGATCATCAGTATTTAGCTGCTTCTCGATTTCCTCTTCCTGTTCTTCGGTCATCGCGACATTGACTGGTGCAGTGGCGATGCTGTTCTGATAGAGTGGACAGGCCTTGTTTGTGCGCATGTGACCAACGTTGCCACAAGCACCGCACTTAAGTTTTAGATCTGGTTTGAGTTTAGGTTTTTTACGTTTAGGAGGCGATATCTCCTGTTTAGAATGTTTGGGCGCGGGAATAGAAGAAGTAGAAGATTGGAAATTACAGAATGGAAGGATACTAGTTGAGGAAGTGGTAGTTGGAGTATTAATATTATTGCGATCGAATATACTGCTCGAATTATTAATGCTGCTGCCATTCACTATAGATGATCCACCCAACATACGCTCTCTCTCTTGATTTCGTTTGATTCGTCGTAATTGTTCCTGAATTCTACGCTTCTCTCGCTTCATTTCTTCCTTTTGTGCTTCGTCCAATGTGGCAAACTGCTTGATAAATGTCTCATCTTTTGAGTTGCGAATCTTAATGTATGTGTCGATCACGGCAGGCTTCCTTACTAACTCAACTCGTGTGTATTCCTTGCCCTCAGGATTACGGAAGGTGCGATAGATTTTTAATACACGTCCTTGCTGTGCATTGAAATTATTAACCGGGCTGTCCTCCTCCTCATCCTTCTTTTTGCTCTCCTTGCCTTTCTTGCTTTCCTGTTCCTGCGCCTCGCCCATGAGCATCTTCCGTAACTCGTGCCGCTGTTGTTCCTCCCGTTCCAGTGAAAGCTGCGTGCTGGTCTTTTTGTTTGACAACATATTTTCGATATTCTTACCCATTTCTTCGATATCTGAGCTGTCTTCTTCCGAACTCTCACCTTCATCCGTGCTCAATACTTCGTTTGACGACAACACGCGATTCTGTAAGTCGAAGATTCGTTGGCATTCTTCTTTGTAACGTTCCTGATGTTCGGCGATAGAGAAACGATTGCCGCGTGAAAACTTTGTCATGCCCTCCTCACCAGCCTTTGCCTTCTCTGTTGATAGAGTTCGAACCACGTCGATTACTTCCCAACGCGACAACTTTTTTATCTCCTCCTCGGGTACACCAAATTTTCGCAGCAACGCTTTCGCATTGTTCAAGGACAATCTCCTTAAGTCCGCGTCTGTACCAGTTACAGTTCTTTTTGGTTGAGCTTCTTGTTCCTCCTATATAAAACATTTTATGGTTTATTCTAATCTGGATAACAACATTCTTGATAGGTATTTGTCAGAACAAACCTTGCTAATAGTCGGTTTATTCGGCACTCTAACATAACTGAAGCCTTCACCACAGCCAGTTGGATCGGCTGGACCTGCCAATTGCAGTAGACATTTTCCTTTCATGGCTTGGATGTAAGCGCGTGTCGTATTCCACGGCGCCACCTTCACCTCATCATCCATCTTCAATTGCATGTCCTCGTCGTCATCATCTTGTGGAGTGAACAAAAACTTCTCTCCGTATCCAGCGTCCTTCAAACGCTGTTCGGCCGCGATCATGCTGAAATAAGCACAGCACTGCTCTGGCGACACCATAGCGCGGATCTCCTCCTCCGTTGGCAATCTGAAGTCTGGTTTTATTACCCACCAATTGGAATCCATGCCTATTTAATAAAAAATACGTGATTTGAATGTACACAAGTTTGCTTAGAAATGAAATATATAACA